CTCCCTCCCTCCCTCCCAGTCAAGGGCCAAATTTGGCAAGATAGAGAGAACTCGCCAGGGCGCAGGCCAGCCTTGGAGAAGTCAACGGAGGATCCCCTCTTGCACGACTCCAGCCTGAGCCCTACAAAGAGAAGGAGGAAATCCCGTTTCCCCGAAAATAAGCCCTAGCAGGATTTCCATGCATTTGTGGTATAAGCCCTAGTGTGTCGTCTTGAGAAAAAATAAATATAAGACAGTGTCTTATTTTCGGGGAAACAGGGTCCCTCTTCCCTCTCCGCTGATCCTCGGCCTCGGACCCAAACCCAGGTTGCGCCCTGCCACGGCTTACCTCGGCGTCCAACTCCATGTCCACGAGCTCCATATCGGGCCAAGGCTCTGCTCCCAGCTGGGCAAGCGGCATCGCGGCTGCTTTCTGAAAGCCCCCGGAACAGCCCCACAAGTCCCGCCGCTAACGCACCCCCAATGCCTTGCTCGCAAGCCTCGCTTCGCCGAGCCCCTTCGCTGGCACTCGAAGACTTTATACGCCGCTCGTTCCCCCAGCATTGAGCACAGAGCTCCCCGCCAAGGAGGAGCCGAGCGCCAGCCCCTGCTGCCCGATTGGCTGCTCGGCCTGGCGGGGAAGGAAAAGGCGGCTCCGCCCAGGCTCGGCAGGCTTCTGCCGGGGGGGGGGGGGGGGGGGAGGTGCTTCAGCATGGCTCAGCCAGGCAGCGGGCTGGGCGGTCACTGTGCCCTCCTGCTACCCGCTGGATTCCGTGCCCGCCGTCCAACTGTTCCTTTGAATTTCCGGATTACGTGAGCAATCCGGAATCTCGGTCGCTCCTGGGTTTGCCTGCAGTCCCTGGGAAGCGAAACACAGCCCCAGCCTAGCCGTGCCCCTGGTGGAGTCGGAAGCAGGCACGTAGCCACAGTGGGGCATTTGGGGGTGGAGCCCAACCCCCCATGAGCCCTGCCCCACCACCTAGTGATGCCAGATACCCCCACCCCCAGTGCGACTAGCCCCACACCGGCAAAGAGGATGGGAAAAGAAATAGAAGCCACCCTGCAGCTTCTGGTCAGTTTCACTGGGGCTGGTCAACTGAAAGGGGGTGAAACTGATCAGAAGGGGCAGGACAGCTTTCCTTCCTTGCCCAGCCTCTTGGCTGCTAGGAGGGGGGCTGCGGGAGGAGAGAGAGGGAAGCCAATCTCTCTCTCTCTCTCCCATAACTTTCCATGGAAGGGAGGGTGGGAGGTTTGGTGATGGTGGGGGAAAGCCAACCTCCCTCTCATGGGGTTCACCCTGGTGAAAGGAAAACAGTCTGTCCATACTGGGAAGAATCCTGATTCCTGGATATTTCAGAGCTGCCTAAGCATAACAGAATCCTGAGTTTGCACTTTGATTCCAGGTACTGATTGGCTCTGTGATTTCCCTTTCTGTAAAGAAACTCTCAGAAGCCCTTTACCCCCATAAAAACCTTTGTGTGCCATTGCCTTTACATCCTGGTTATTCTAGCATCCTGGCTATTCCCACCTACCCCCCCCCCCATATACCTTAAATTTTTATTTCCCTTGTTAAGGAGCCATATTTGGCTCTTGAGGCACAGGTGCAGACCCCTGGTGCAAAAAACCCCCACTTTTGCACAAAAGTAGGACAACAGTCTCTCAGAACTGCAAAGTAGTACTGATTTTTCCTGAATTTTAGTTTAAATATAGCATAGTTTGAGTTTGGGAGCAAGGCATTTAGCATCTATCCACCTGCCTTGTCTCTGTTAAGTTTTCCTCTGATGACTAGAAGCATGAAAGGCTTTCTAGAAGACTAGAAGGTCTTTCTTGAGGCTGCTGTGGATGGACTCGTCTTGAGACATGAAAACCTACCTAGACCACAATAAAAGCTGATGGTCCATTCCTGTCTTTAGCCACCAACAGAGCCCAAGCCCACAAGTTCTTGAAGTGCCAACTTATGACCATCTTTCAAGAAGTGCAATGCAAGATTTTATCACCACTCAGCTGCTGGGTTGACCACACCCTTTAATTTGACCACTTAACAGCTGGGAAATCTCTGCCCCAGAGATCAAGGCTGCCCACTGTAAACAGAGGAAGTGTGTTAAAAACAAAACAGGTTTCCTTTGGATTTACTAAAAAGCCAGCTGGCTGGTGGTACACTAATCAGCAGGGGCTAAGGAGCTAGTTGTCAAGGTCACAGTGGGAAGTTAATGGCTATTGTCCACAGGGTTAGTGCATGAAATATGGCTGAACACACCTGAATACCACATAGAAGAGAAGTGGGAATCTCTGCTGTTTCCTCCACCCCCGCACTAATAGAATGATTCTCTCATGTGTGTGTTTCATCTCAAGGAAATTGGCATATTGACAAGGTACCTGGCAATGATAATATGATATTAAAATAACAGTCTCGTCTTGACTTTTTTGAAGTCACAAATAGAATCATAATGCATTATTCTGGCAGTTCTGGAAGACTCAGGTTTGGATCCCCATTCTGCCATGGAAGCTCACTAGGTGACTTTCGGCCAGCCACTTTCTCAGCCTAGCCTACCTCATAAGTAGCGTTGCCAACCCCCAGATAATCCTGGAGATCTCCCGCTATTACAATGACTCTCCAGACAATCAAGATCAGTTCTCCTGGAGAAAATAGCTGCTTTGGAGATTGCATTCTATGCCTATACCCTGCTGAGGTCCCTCCCCTCCCTAAACCCCACCCTCCCAGGCTCCATCCACAAACCCTCCAGGTATTTCCCAACCCAGAGCTGGCAACACTACTCATACAGTCGTTGTGAGGATAAAATGGAGGAGAGAACAATGTTGTAAGCCGCTTTGAGTCTGCATTGGAGAGAAAAGCAGAGTATCAATATGTATATATATATATATTAAATGCTCAAGTTTTGGTAAGCAAAAATGCAAACTAGATGATAATCCATGCTTATAAATAGTGCTTATAAATGGTCATCTACACTGACTGGTAAGAATCACTCCAGGCAACCAAGTGGGGGAAGATTTTACAAGCTGGAAAGGAACAACGTTTGAGTCCAGTGGCACCTTTAAGACATGCATACAAGTTGTTACCACACTTGGAATAAACCCCCCAGGACTTAACAGGGATATTGGTTTCTTATCTCACTACTTATGCTAAATCCATTCAGTCCTTACATCTGTATTCTCACCAAGAAGGGCTATATATATATTTATTTTATTTATTATCTTTACTGTTTTTGCAACCTGAGTCATAAACAGCAAACCCTCTTTATTTTAATGTATTTCTTATTGGAATATTAGATTAGAATAGTTATTGTAATGTAATGCAATGATTATTAGAAAAGTATATTGGAATGCATTTCTGTGGTCTGGTAACAGAGGAGACATAACACTGCACTACGAATCACCCTACCTCAAAGAAAAAGATGCTATTAGTTATCTCCATGCTTGAGAGGAAATGGAGTGTAACAACAAGGTCTCAGGTAATTACTCTTAGCACTCCACAATTAAGAATGACACGTTTACACATCTGTCTCCAATTTTGACATATTTATTATGTCAAAATTGGGCCAGTTTTTATTATATATTCACTATTTTTATTCACTATTCACATATTCACTATTATTATTACATATTCACTATTTTCCCCTGGAATTAAATCCAAACAATGGTGACCTTATAAACCTAGCTTGTTATTCCTGTTTGCATCTGTTAAAACATCATCATTATGCTGTATGCTAATTTGCTGTTTAACCTCTGCCTTATATGTATGGACTAGTAAATTCCATTTCAATGTATCTGAGGAAGTGTGTGTGCACATGAAAGCTCATACCTTGAATAAAACTTGTAATTCAGCTACTTTTATGTCACCATTGAATGTCTTGGAAGGCTGAAGTGTTCTCCTACAGGTTTCTCAGTCTTGTGATTCTTGATATCAGATGGACCTCAGGCTGGAAAGGAGTTTGTTATTTTCTTTTGATGGTAGAACCTTAAGTAGTTTGTTATTACAAGCTTAAAGACTTGGAAGTCAAACATGTTTACCTGAGGTTAAAATGTTGTTTGTGAATGTAAGGGATTTCTATGAATAAGTCAATGCCAGATAGCTGTATAAAAGACATATGAGTAAGCAGATGCAGTTGTCAAAACTGCCTACAAAACTTCATTCAATAAAAGGATGTTATACAAGGAACCTCTGTAGAGTTTTCTTTTGCTTTTCATACAGCAGGCCATAATGAATGAGCTACAATAAACCACCACAGGAAGATGCCAGCCATGCACAGATGTGTCTGTTCTGTCTGTTCCTTCGAGATGAACAAAAAGGAGAGAGCGGCACTTGGGAGACATTAACAAATGCAAAAATCTCAAGTGCCATCAACTGCTGCCTCTGGCACAAAGAAGCAAAATTCCAATATGGCCCAACTGCAGCAATAACAACATGATAATGCAAGAGCAATGGGCTAATTCACATAAATCAGGATGTTTGGCAATGCATGTAAATGAATGTTATAAAAATTATATTGTAAAACTGGTGTTGAGAGCTTAGGCAAGGATAGCATCTGTTCCTCTTTTTACAGTCTTAGCTGATTCTGTCCACACTTCTGCACTGCTGTTTTACCCCCCCCCCCCCAATAACTGAGATCTTCTAGCAGAGGCCAATGTAGTATAGCAGTTACAGAGCGGGAGTAGGATCAGGAAGAGCTGAGTTCAAATCCTCACACTCTGCCACCATGGTGCCTTTGAACCAGTCACAGTTGCTCAGCCTAATCAATCAGCTGGGTTTCTAATTGCTGGGATTTTTTAAATTTTGTGTTGATTTTGATTCTAAGCTGAGGCTATCATACTTCGGTCACATCATGAGAAGACAGGAGTCAACAGAAAAAACAATAATAGCAGGAAAAGGTGACGGCAGCAAGAGGAAGACCCAGCATTAGATAGATTGACTCTATAAAGGTAGTTCACAAGACCTGAGCAAGGTTGTTAACAATAGGACGTTCTGGTGGTCATTAATTCATAGGGTCGCCATAAGTCAGAGGCTACTTGGAAGCACTTAGCACACAGAAACAATTTTGATTATTTTTATGCTTTTATGATTTTATCATAGGACAATATCACTGCAGTTTTGGTCCAACTGGCTCCCAATTTGTTTATGGACCCAATTCAGGGTGCTGGTATTGACCTCTAATGCCCTGTATGACTTGGGATCAGCACACCCTAAGGGCATCCTACTCCCATACAAAGCTACCCAACCACTAAAGTCATCTTCTGAGATGCCCCTGTCTTCTGAAGCTAGACAGGTGGCAACCTGAAAGAGGGCCTTCTCTGTCATGGTGTGAACAAGGGTGTAGACTTTCCAATTTCCCAGGGGGGGCTGGGGCTGGGCCAGAGGCATTGCTTTGCTAGGAGCAAGGGTGGCTCCCGGGGGAGGCTGAGCACCTTCCTGAAAATTTCGGCGGGGGCTGAAGCCCCGCCGCCCCCACGAAGATTACACCTATGGGTGTGAAAATTATGAAACTCCCTCTGTTTTAACTGTTTCTTCTGTTCT